GAATATGCACATTAATGAGAATATAACAAAAGTTTCATAAAGACGGTTGTGCTCAATCTTATTTGTGTGTCATGTGGCAAGTAGAATGAGACACAGCAACAAATTGCGACATCAATTGTTTGTATAAACAACCGCTATGGTAGCAAAGAGAAAACCTCAGAAAGTTTACATTAACTTCACTAAATACGGTAATGTAATGGTCAACAGAAAGGAGAGAGACATGCAACTAGGCAGCTGATTTACAGCTTCTGACAATAACCACCCAGTGTCTTGTTTCGGTTTTGGTTCAAGGAGTCAGCAGTGAATCAGCATAATTGAACCAATTAGATGAAGGACCTACTTGTCGACTGGACCTGGAGAGCTATTTGAGGTATCGTAATAATACACAGAATTACATATAAAACCCCACGTATTGGGGTTGAAACCGAGTTCTCTCCGATATTTCGTGAGGCCAGACAACCTGTACCGGTTCTCTCCAGCAGCCAGACTACTGTAGTGAAGAAGATGGCAGTTGTACCGCCACTCTACTGTTTACAGCAGGCAAGTTTTCTGTAAGTTTCGATTGACATCTTCTCTAGCCTAACAACGTGTAGTATATTCATGATGTTAGAAAAACATGTAGGTTCAAAAAGTCTTGATAGCCTAACAACGTGTAGTATATTCATGATGTTAGAAAAACATGTAGGTTCAAAAGTCTTGATAGAAATGAATAATGGGGTTATAGGGTTTTTATTCATTTCTAACGTATAGTATATGATGTTTAAATAAGTTCTCTAATTGAAACTGGATAATGTTGGTATATATTTCACGTAATAATTATTGGATAATTTGTCCAATATAGTGTCAGAATTAATGAATCTGATAAAAGGTTTACTTAATGAACAATTACATGAGCAAAACGAAGACTTTGATATGTTTGATGTAGAACTGCTTCAATACGATTTCGGTACTTTCGATGTTAATGAATATGTTAGATAAGGATGTACTAGGTCGTCAAGAAATGAATGTCGCTTTTTTTAGATGAAAAATTCCGAACAACTTATATAT